ATCGTGCAAAATGCAGGCCATCGTCAAAGTAGAATCCCAACAGGAAGCGACTAGTGAGTCGTCAGTGTGAGGGTGTCATGGAGGAGGTCGTGTGAGGAGGAGATGAGAGATTATGGGCTGAAGAGGACGGCAGAATATAGGATAAAGTGGAGATGTGTTGTCGAACTCAAGGGAATAATATTAATACGCTTTAGGCTTGGATAGGCAACTGAGTAAACACTTGTGCTTTTTATGTGCCATATTTATTATTATTACTGCTTCGTTTGTTAATTTCTCTGTAAGACAGGTAAGCACTGCCAACCACCAACGGAATTTGTTCGTTCCATTGGTGGCTTTGCGCCACCTGTCCCCTTTGCAACGGAAAAATTGTTTGAAAAATCCTTCTGATTGAACGATCTAACCACAGTATTTGTGCTCATTCAAATGTTCCAACTAACTTTGCAATTGTTATCTATTTTTCTCCTAGACTGTATGTCATTGTTCTAACGTTTGCATAACACCTTCTAACTTGATCATTATTATTTGTCTTGGTCCCTGTTTAATCTCTAATCTTAATGCTTCCATATGTGGTTGTACGGTACACTGAGAATATATTGTTTTATTGTACGATTTCGTTCGAGTGAATTAGGGTTATTCTGACCTCAGAGTGTCTGGAATAATTGTTGGTTTGTACTTCTTGTGGACAGAGTATTTGATACCACCTTGGCGGGAATATTCTGCTTGATTCTAAGTATTTGTTTTGTACTTAGAAAATTATCTTGACTGTGTAGCTGCTTAAATGCTCTGTTGAGATGATTTAGAGTTTTGGATGTTAATATTTTTGAATGGAACCATTATTACAGGAACGATTAATCTTCTTTTTGCTGTCTTTGGAGTGTTTCATAACTGTGACAGGAAAATCTGGGAATAGTGGACAGTTGTTTCGTCCTGGTCCAGTACTCCTAGGTTTTCGAGTCATTCTCTAAGTGAAGTCGGCTCATAATGAAATTTCGTCAGCTTTACAGTAGAACGCAGAGACCGGTTCCCTACGTTCAGACAACAACGATTCACTCTTAGCCAAAACAGCTTGCTCGTAATCCCTTCACACCAAGAACTTCCCAGATCCTGTAACAGCAGAATAGAGTTGTTTATTGCCATCTCTATACACGGATACGGAAAAAATATGTATACCATAAAATAAAATTCTAATTTTTACATGTCCTACATATTGTACTCATTTTGTCTTCCTTCCATTTTCTGTTGTTGTTTCACAAGAATCGCTCACTTCTTCTTTTCGCCATTCAATCTATCCCTCCTTTGTTCAATACTGTTGCAAACGGTATATATATTTTGGTGTGTATACACATGTTACTACTCAAATATTTGTCAGTAGCTCAAAATAGAATGTCAAGGTGCAGAAAAATTTAACTGATTGATACAGCTTAGAGTAATTTGCGAGTCAAACGACGTCTGATGATCAACACTGCATATTGGGAGGAAGAATTCGAAATAGGTGAAACTGACACTGCTCGTACACTCTGAACTCATCCTTAATCAATTTTTAATAAAATTTCCATTTTCGTCGAAAATTTACAAATTCCCTGACTTTGTTAGCTTGATCTCTTACAAGAAACTGCAGGCAAATGTACAGCATTGTACTGATGAAAACATACATAGAATTGGTAGTCTGTAATTTCGACAGCATCCAATATTGAGTAGCTGACCTTCAATGTTTTCATTCATGAATAATCCCCATCCAGGCATTAATGAAAACAAGGCACGCAGTTCAGCGAAGAGTCTCTTTTCAGTGAATTCATTTTCTTAGCTGTACAATCGCAAATATATATGAGTTATTTTGTGTGCATGTGTACATTAAGTTTTTCAAACAAAAATACAATTGGTTATGGTTATTTTAACTAAATAGGTGAAAATTAGTAAGTTTAGGGTAGAGTTACGTAATACAAAAACGGTCAAGAAAATTGGGTGTTAATGAAACCAGGGTAGTAATAAAGGTGATGAGTCGTCGCAAAAAGTTGTTAAAAAGGAGTTACGCGATAATATGAATATTTTGGTGATTGAGTTTTACTCAGGATACACATAGGAACAAAGTAGAGAATACGAAATTATGTAAAAGTTCTAAATGAATACAAGACTTATAAGCAATTAAGGAAAGAGGCAAACAAATAAAATTAAGTCATCAAAAATCAACAAAGTTGTTACCATGATAATAGAAGTGGCTGAGTAATTCCCTTTTGCATGCACAACTCCGGTATATTTATGTCGATGGTCAAAGCTTCAGATACAAAAAGAAGATGAAACTGTACCGCCTTTGGTAGGTTATTCTTAACTCTGTAAATTACTTTGAATCAGGAAGCGTTTGTTGAAATGAAATGATTAGTGTTAACTAGGTGTTCAATTATCGCACTCCTTATAGCACCACTATTGCCTTTTCGCAACCATGCTGGATGGTGCTCTTGAATCCTCTTGGACAGGATGCGCGTCAAACGACCTATATACCTGCCTCCACAGCAGCAAGTGAACTTATATATGCACATAGAAGTGGTCAGATGCGGGATCTTGTCCTTAAAGCTTCTGAAGATCAGTGGGTGACTGGAGAACACTATTCCTAGGGTTTCTGCGAAGAATATTCTTCTCAAAGATGATGTGATTCTTCTCCTGAGAACATCGCTTGCTAAATCTCCCTTGAAATCCAATTCATATAGAGTTTCTTTTTCCACGCGAGTTAGGTTTCATTCCGCCAAATTCTTGGTTTGATATTTTTCTCAATGAATTTTGGTGGGTATCCATTTTGGATTGAGATTTTTTCTCAAAATTTATATAATTCTTTTTCTAAAACAACAACTGTTTGCGACGACTCATCACCTTTATTACTACCCTGGTTTCATTAACACCCAATTTTCTTGACCGTTTTTGTATTACGTAACTCTACCCTAAACTTACTAATTTTCACCTATTTAGTTAAAATAACCATAACCAATTGTATTTTTGTTTGAAAAACTTAATGTACACATGCACACAAAATAACTCATATATATTTGCGATTGTACAGCTAAGAAAATGAATTCACTGAAAAGAGACTCTTCGCTGAACTACGTGTTTTGTTTCCAATGTTTTAGTCAAATTTCTAGACTGAAGGTGCTCTGTCAAACACCCCCGCCGTTCATCACAAGATCCCTAGTGAACCAAGCATTTCTATTTGGCAACACTGACACTGAAATGTACATAGCGTTATCGACAGTAAAATTATCTTCCTTACGTTAACTTACTAACAGTTTCTGACCTGCATGAAATAAATTAAATTGAGTTGGGTAATGACAAACGCTTAATAAAGTCATTGTTGTATTATCGATATTCTACAAAGTATTTTCAAAAATAGTATTACCATTTACTTAGGTATCAAAGTAACCAAAAGTAAATGCTTTAACTGAAATTCTGATTGTGTCTGAAACTTTTGTGTCTGAAACTCACTAGTCAGCATGGCAAATCTTCAACTTTGAAGGAACTCATATTCGAACCCACGTCACCCAGTGCTGCAGTCAGAGACGTTATCACTGAATTATTCAGGCTCACGACTAACCTCCAATCAGAAATATACTAAAATTCACTTACTTTATATTAACATTCGTGCATATCTACTGTATTGCGCTTCTATTGTTTTCCCTTCAAGTAGTCAATGTTGTTTCCCAGAGGACTTAGTATTTCCCCCTTGATCATTAAAATCCTCCCTCCGATATTCAGTGTTCCTGCAGAAGACATTTTTTACAATATAGTACTTACGAAATTTTGTCAGTAGTACCCATCAAAATTATAGAAAAATCACTGATAGAATGGTGTTTCGGAATAAATTGGTATAATAAATTTATAAAGACTTATCATTTAGAAGAAGGTAAGTAATTACGCAATGCATCTGTTGCATGAATATTAGTCTGGAATAAAGAAGAGTACAGTAATCATTTTTATTATCATCACTCGCATTATCATCATCTGAAAAAACCTTCAACCCTGGTAAACAATAGCTACAACTCATGTAGTGTACCTGAGATGGTGTGGCGAGGAGGAGATAAGAGATTCTGGGGAATCACGGAAGCAATTTAGGTGGATGACAGAAAATAGAGGAAAGTGGGAATGTGTTGTTGAAGCCCTCTATTACACTTGGAACGCAAGGGAATAATAATATATATAAATAGTCCGTTGAAAATCTATTCATATTGGTTCAATTTCAGTGACCATTTATTTTGTAACACAGTTTAACAACTACTGTAAAAGGTGTCACGGAGACAGCACTGATATTGGTCATTATAATGCACCTAACGATTAGGTGGTGTCTAGCAGTTAATTGTCTTTCCTATATCTATACATTTATTATTCAGCACTAACAACATACACTGAGTTATCATGAATTATGTATCCATGAATTTCTACTCATTGACGGTATAACTATTGCATTACGAAGTATTCATGAAACACGAAAAAGAAGTTTCAATCACAGTGTATCACAGTGATATATGTCTGTCAATCAGATTAACTATGTACTTCTGAGTGCATAGAAACATTAACTTTCAGTATGTACTTTATACATTTTTTGTTTTCACAATATCAAAAACTAGACATAGCTTCTTAAAATTTATTTATTTACTCAATTTCAGAGATACATTTCAATGACTGTATTTAAAAAGTATGTTCAACAGAAACTGTAATATTTAACTGACATGTGAATATTATTGTCATGTCAGCTAATTATTGAACAAGATGGTTTGAATTGTCTGAGAAATTTGATTGGTAGTTTACGTGACTTATAGACGGACAGATAGACGATGATTTACACTGTGATGATTGAAAATAAGATAAATAAAAACGGTTTGAACAGGATGGAAGTTGGGATGCATAGCTCTCTAGTGGTCGATTCTCAGACTAGTAATTCCTAACCGACTGATTCGAACACTAGGAACAATTCTGGTATTCCTATCAACATCAATCATTATTAGTTTTATGAATATATAATATATACGTTACAGATGAATATAATTCACATTTTCAATTCTTTTTGAACAAAATTATCTTCCCATAATTATACTGATGATTTCTATTTATGATATTGATGATTTTTAGAATAGTCAATTGAAAAAGTTTCTCTGTTCTCACAAATGAATAAAAATTGTCAATATAATGATAATAATGAGCTTTTAACAAATAATGTTATAAAAAGAAGAAAGCCAAAAGTAATCAGTGACTCAAAATACTACCTACGTGTATGTGAAGTAGATGTTAAGAAATATATATATATATATTTACATTAGGTCATTGTATTTACTGTCATACTGGTTGTACTAATTGCAATCATTGAAGTACTTGTCGTATACTTGTAAGTATCCTAAAATACTTTCAAAGTAATATAATTTGTATCTTTAGTTATCGTCAACACGTGACACCGATTTTTGCACTCGTATGGGTGTTAATTGATGGGTAGGTTTCAGAAATGATAAATTATTCATTTATTGAACTGTATTATAAATGTATTGATTGTATGCATGTGTTGACAAGAAATCGATGGAGTTGTTTTTGTTTTTTTGATGTCCTACAAGAAATTCACCAAAAAGTACCGACAGAAACAATACTAACATTCACTCCGCCTAGTTATCAGCAGTAGATAGATTTGAGCACTGGTTTCTCTTATACCACATCCATTGATCATGCCTTCAGTTTTTTATCATCATCAACAATAACGAAATGATTGTCTAATTCTTCATTCTTTGCTCAAATACTTCGAAGTGAGAATCAATTAGAGTTTTGCTAGGAAAATCAAGAATATTCAAATAACAATATATATATATGATCTGCTTGATACCATGAGTTGCAGTGAAGGAGGTTTAAGCCACTGATTGATATGCAAAACTTGGGGACTTCTCAAGTTGAACAGCAGATTTTGCCAGCTAGATTTGACTTCGAATTCGTGAGTGTTTTATCCAGTTTAATCATTAAAGAAAAACAACAACAACAGAAAGCACTACTATTTCTCCTGACTGGTTTACACCGTCTGCTACTACTCAGTGGAACACTTCTCCACATGTTCATTTAATTCAAGGTTGTTTTCATGCCCATAGAGGTAATATTTGTGTATAATTTGAAAAACAAAGATATAAATGCTAACTACAGGATAACTGCTTGAAATCACTTCATTTTTGTCCTCAATTTTTATCGAATTCAGCACCTTGGCCATCATAATTGTCTTCATTCTTCTACTGGTCGATGCAACACAAGATAAACCTTTCATTGGATTCATTTTTCTGTGCTTATATGTAAGTTGTGCGTAAACATATATATAGTGAGTGATTTTATTCCTGCTTCAGTTTTGTGCACATTTTATTATCCAAAGATAGTGAACTGAAATGACAATTAAGTCATACAACAACACCAAGATGTAGCATAATAGTGACGATAATATTAATAGTAATGACTACGTAGTGGTCATAATGACTAGCTTCAAAATGAGACTATATTGATGAAAAGTTTGGATTTCTGGTGTTCACCTAGTTCAGTTTATAATCTCTGCTGTGAGTAGAATCTTTGGAAGGAAATACTGAAAGATTCTACACTAGGATGAATCGGTTACTTGTCTAATGCTTTCTGATTTCCACGGTCTTCGTTTCTTCTCCTTTCACTTACATATGGAAACCAGTCATTTCAGAATGAAAACTACCTTCAAACTGTGAAGTATTCAAGAATCAACTACAAAATAAATAGCATCACGTAAAAATACCAAAGCGTACACTCAATGAAGTTACACACAGAAAGATACTGAATATATTGCTTCAATAAAATCAACGCGAAAATACAAGAATGAGCAAATATATAAATCGGTATTCTACTACTTTCAAAAAATTAATTGAATACAACAGTAATTCTGTAGACACACGATACTAGTTACTCACCGGTGACAAATCAACCCAAGAATATACAGACTAACAAGTAGTCAGTGTATTCAAGGTGAATAGCTTAGTGGTAACGTTTATGACTGTATCAGTGGATCTGGTAGCTTCGAATCACTGAGACCGGGTTGAGGATACACTGTGTGAATAACTGTCAACATGCACAAAATGTAGGTCCAGACACGGTTTCCTGTTGACTGCTTTTCACATTACATACTTCATGGATGAACATATCTTATACTCATTTTGTAATATGTTTTCTAATGACAATAATGAATAATAAACAGGTTGATTATAATTGGTATTTAGAATTTTGGAATTAATTTTCTACTCATATTCTCATGCAGTCAAAACTATTCATCATTATCATTGTGTGTTTTTTAACTGTTTCTATTACACTGACAGGCAATATTTGTAGGTCTTCTTTTAGCCCTATTTGGAATGCACCAAACAATATTGTTCCTGGTGATGTTATGGTTATTTATCATCTTCATATGTGTTCTCGGACTTTTTGTGGGATATAAAACCACGACGGATTTGACGCTAACCATAGATGGTTTTATAGGATTCTATGTAATGGTTTATTTTGCAGGAATCATTCTTGCTGGAATTTATTTTCTAAGAGGTATACAAAGTGTGAGTAACTTTCTTTTTCTGCGCCCTTTTTGAATATCAATCATCGTTTTGTTATTATTATTATTATTAAGATTTGGGAACTCTCATGTTGAATGTCACTACTCACTTGACAATGAGTATGGTGAATCAGTTCACACTGATTGTAAAATAAATTAATGCAAATCTTCATTCATCATTTCACTGGATAAAAAGTGAAGCTTTTCTAATTATCATCATTAATATTGTTGACATCGACATAATGATACATATTGTCATCAATAGCGACAGAATCACCATCATCTGTAGCTATGGCGGCGAGTGCAGTAATAGTGTGGTGGTGTAATACAGACAATGTGTTCCAACGAAATATTATTCTCACATATCTCCACAGTTCAATACAGCAGTAACAACAATAGAATACAATATATTGTATCTGAACTTTCTATTTCATGTCGTTTAATGTAGGCGAAAATCACACGCTCAGTGATTGGTTAAAGAATGTAAAACTGTATAGATATAAATAGCGGTTTGATCAATGGAAAATATACTTTGACTTTTGTGTCTCGCCTTCTGTTGCTACAACGTTACGTCTGTCTGAACATTTCCTTGCATAATCGATCAAGCCACTTTTCTTTATCACTCTTTGTTATAAATGGAGTTGTCATAATAAAATAACAATTATGGTTATTATTGATTAATTGCACAATTTACATGCATAATGTTGTTGTTCTTTTGACAAATCACCATGTTTGGTGTATATTTAAGCATTCACTTGTAAAGCTGTGTACATTTTACAGGAAAGCTTGGTAAGATCTAATTGAAAATGAATATCGTTCGCTTATCTGTATTCTCCTATATTCTACAATAGTAATCTTCAACATTGAAAAAAGTTTCATAAATAGTTTACCAAAAATTGAAATCTTTATGAATTGATGGGGCTGTAGAGGTATGATTTGTCAAAGAAATACTGTTTTGTAACTATCATCTCTTTTGTAAAACATTATGTACAAAACTTCGTGTTTCTCTGAACAGCAGAGAATATTCCATAGAAATGATTCAGGTGCACTGAATGACGTCTATCTACTTTGGAAGAAGGTGAATATTTAATTTATTAATAAATTTAAGGAGCAGTAAAATATTAGGGAAGATCATTCTTCCAATTACAGTGGATATATAATGATGACAGGAATGATAAAGACGATTGAGATCCTAGTGTAACAACAGAAGGCGAGACACAAAAGTCAAGGTATATTTTCCATTGATCAAACCGCTATTTATATCTATACAGTTTTACATTCTTTAACCAATCACTGAGCGTGTGATTTTCGCCTACATTAAACGACATGAAATAGAAAGTTCAGATACAATATATTGTATTCTATTGTTGTTACTGCTGTATTGAACTGTGGGAATATGTGAGAATAATATTTCGTTGGAACACATTGTCTGTATCATACTTCCACAATAGTAGTAGTGATAGACTTATTATTATTATTATTGATTTTGTGATTAGTTGTAAGTATTATATGCACAGTCTTGTTATCCCATTGATAAATAAACATGACTGATTCATATTTAATATTTATTTGTAATGTATATCTGAGTAAAGCTTGGCCTCTATCTTGAAGCCTCCTATGTCCCACTGGAAACGTAAAGGAATAAAAAAGTAAGCTTGATGGGATCTGACTGAAAAGAATATTTTTTGCCAACATGTGTTATTCTCAATTTCAATCTTCTTTACCGTATCCTATGAGTATTCTGTTTGTTTGTTTTTCCTTTTAAATTCTAGCAAGGTTATTTTCTTTTTGGGATTTCATTACTCATAATTCTATGCGCAGTGAGTTAAATACTTCTAAAACTTACTTTAAACATCCTATGCAGTTTTCTTTGGAAATTAAAAGTATTCAGATCAAAATCTGTAATTAGGTTATTAGTCGCCTGATGTATTCATAATTCCGATTCGATAAACAAGCATTAGTTGTTGATATGAAGAACAGTTTCCATGTATTAGTTTCATTGTTCTTCATCTATGTTGACAGTTTCATGAAGCAGATCACATGTTATGACGTAAATATTTTCCTTTTTCAAAGGAAACCCTAATGTATTTTCATTCAGAACTATGCAATTTACAGAATAACAAATCTAATTCAAAGATTCATGTAACAAGTGAATGCGGGAAACTTATCGATGCGTTCTTCAGTATAGCGAATTAAACTTCCGCGGGGGAATCACACTTCTAAAAATGTTCCGACGATAGCCAAAAACTGTTAGATGTGGTAAACTTTGTCATACACAATAATACCGTTAGATAGTCGAGTAATTCAAGGGTTTGTCAGATGGGAAATAAGTACTGAGAGTCAAATGAAATATTCCAAACGAGGTGATCGGTAAAAATTAAACACACCGAATACGTTTCCATATGACAATTGAAAGTGAAATAATATCTCCACAGTATAACCCTAAGTTGATTCCAACAGAATCACAGAAATGAAAAAACATGTTATCCTCAAAAGTCTACCATCACTCAATAGTAAAGTGAAATTTTAAGAATAAAGACATATAAAGACATAAAGACCAATAATTAGAGCTAAATCAAAAGAAGATATGTACAAGTTGAAATTGTGCCAGACAGGTTCAAGAAATTATTATTATAGCTCCGTTTAGTTGCTAGAGGAACATAGGGCTTCAGCCGCACGTCTGCATCGCGTTTGGTTCTTCGCCAACATTTTCACCTGCCTCTACGTCTGCCCACATTCCTTGATCTCCTCCTCACATCACCTCCTCCATGTCACCCTTGCACTGACGACCACCTAGCCACTTCCCATTCGGGTTCCGCTCAACCGATGGCCTGGCGTGTGATGTCACTCACTTGATGGTTTTCTCGGAGTATGGCCAATCCATCTCCATTTCTTCCTGCATATTTGTTTCACAATCGGTTCCTGGTTGGTTCGCTCATTGCCAGAGATCTCTGTTGCTGATCTTTTCTGGCCGACCATCTGATCTTGAGTATTAAGCGAAGACAGCTGTTGACGAAAATCTGCAGTTTGTTTTAGGTGCTCTTCATGATGCGCAGTGCAAGTCTCTGATCCATAAAGCAGCACTGAATTCACATTGCAGTTGAAAATCAGGATCTTGTTTTCATGCTGATCGCTGTTGATCGACACACAGACTTAAGAGTAATGGAAGCTTGCCTTGCTTTCCCAATCCTCGCTTTGATATCCTCGTCAGTTCCGTCCGCCTGTAGTTGAAACGATGCTTTCCAGGTAGGTAAAGGAGGTTGCTTCTTTCAGATTCATCCCATTTATGTTGACTGTCATTTGTTGTTGCTATTGGCCAGGAATCTTCATTGCCTCTGTTTTCTCTATGTTCACCTGAAGTCCTATCTTTGATGCTTCTTTGGCCAACTTGTTGCTTTTCACTTGCATATCTTCCAGTTTGTGGGAAATCAGACATATATCATCGGCGAAGTCCAGATCGTCCAATTTTTTTGTGTGGGTTCATTTTATGCCTGTCTCGTTGTTGCCCACCGTCTGTCGCTTTATCCAGTCTATCACAATCAGGAAAATCATTGGCGATAGTAGGCAGCCTTGTCTTACTCCCGTTTTCACTTCAAAGGATTCCGTGGATTTCCCGTTGTGGATTACTTAGCTTGCAGCATTGTCGTACAACTGTTGGACGAGATGTATAACTATTGGTGGCACAGGTCAAAGAAAAAAGGAAAGGATAATAATGACACAATTAGTTGAAATATTTGATTAAACGTCAGTATTGTAAGTAGATTATTTAGGAGATGTTTCAGGACCTGTAAAATGCGTATTATTGTTGCAATTCAGCAATATTTGTGATAACTAATTTAATCTGATTGATTTAAAGTTATTAAGTCAGGATATTAATCTCTTCTTACACTCGTTTCAAGAGTGCTAGTTAAATTTCTGAAAAGTAGAAATACTCATTTCACCCATTCATATACAAACTATACATATTCATTGTTTAAAGTCTACACAAGTGATTTATTATTTTTGCTTGAGGCTCATCGGTAACTGATATTCATTTCTTTTTTACTTGTAGCTGACAATTATTATTGGACAGATAGTTTTCAGAAAAGGTCATGTTAACCTTCGTGATAAATGGCCAATGAGTGTGTTATTATTAGTTACACTAATCAGTGTTTTCTATTCAATGTCATTGTCACAATATAGTTATATCGAGGTAATTATGGGAAAACGTAGGCCAGCATCTGATCCTCAAGGAGAAAACAAATATAAGAATATATTCAAGTAATTCTAAGTGTTGTATGTGTACATTTTTCATGTGTAAACGGATTTAAATGAATTTCAGACTAGATTTCATGAAGGAAAGTTGTCAGTTGAAGAATGTTCGGAAACCTCGAGGCACCAAGTAATTGTTTTGTCCCAGTGCGACACTTCATAATAGTGTATATCTCCCGCCTTCATCACAGCTCGAATTTACTAACTCCGCGTTAGGAAATGTCACTTTGACCAGTGAACCAGTAGGATGTAGTTGAATGACTCAGTGGCTGAACGATCTACGGACTGGCATAATGAGGTGAATGTGCTCACTGTTATAACCAAAGCCAATTCGAGGTAGTTTGGACACAGGAAACCGATCTTTGCGTCCTACTGTATAACTGATAAAACTTCTTAAAGACACTCAAAGTCACAAAACGCTCCTAAGGTGACAAAAAGATGATTACTGGTGGTTGGATCTATGTGCTTCTCCTCAACAGTAGTAACATCTAGAACTCAAAATTACTTCAACAATGTTGTTAGGTAGCTATATAGGCAAGATAATTTTCTAAGTACAAGAGAAGTACTGTGGAAAAAATAAGTTAACCAGATGATGATGCATGTAAACTGGCGTAACTTATGTACAAACAGTATCACTGTTATTATTAAACACATGGAGAAACGTTTATTTCTGAAAATTAAGACCACGAAGACTTTTTCAGTAATGACTGTCGAAAACAGGCATACCAGTACGCTAACCCTATGATCATGAACAGAGTCCCTTCACATAACACCTAACTGACAGGATAACCTCCGGTAACTGAAGGTATGGCAACGCCACAAAGGCAACAGAAGCCCAAACAAGATAGTGTAAAACTCATTCGGAATGGACGCAATGTTCCCACAATGCCCTAACGCTTATTAGATGGCCTGATGCAACAGTCAGGAAGCCTTGAAGTCAGGTTTCAAGTTTGCAGACACTCATCACGAAGGTGCATTTGCAATCCTGAGAAAACTCAAGTCAATTAGAGATTAGAACCCAGGTCACCCAATGCTGCAGTCAAAGACGTTACCACTCAACTATTGGAGCTCACGATTGGCCTCCTGTAGGATTGTAATAATTGTAAATAATGTTGTGTGGTGGCGAACCGACTAGCACGAAGGGCACATTGCAAACTTGACTGAGACAATTTAACTTACTTCAAAGGCAGGACTAGACTCATAACATAGGTGACTAACTAATGTCTCTTTAAAGTACTTTCACATTATAATTTACAGAGCGAAACAAATGAGTTCCATTTATATTGGGGAAATCTACTCAGTTTAAGACCCATTTTGTAGCTATATATCCATTTTTTGACTTATGCATGGAAAATTTATTGTATATCTGTGGCTATAAATGTGAAGTGTCGAATGAGTAACAAAATTAATGTTTTCTTAGTGTTTTGTCTCTCTCACCCTGTGCCAGTATTTTCGAATTTGATCATGTTTTGGTGACATTTTATTCAAAGTTCTTACCTTTCCTGCCTTCTCTCCCAAGTCTAACCGGCACTAGAAAATTAAGCGAACGATGCGTGAGAGCACACTGATGAACATGTATCGAAAATTAATACATGGATAATATTAGCATAAGTACGCAACCAGATGGTAACTTATTGTCATCGTACCCATAGAAAGGGGTTTATCAATAGCACCACCATCTGGCTTTTACTTCTAGCTAATATTGTTGTAAGAGCCTCACGACTGCAATACGGGGAATGTGAACCGCCGTCGAAAATAATTCCTCAAATTTATTATCATTCAACCTTCATTATTCAAATTTGCATGTCGACTCCCGCTGTCTGGGTCCATCGATTTAGCATGAGTTCTACAGTAAAACTTCCACGCTTTTTGTTACGCAGTCACTTTCCACCCCGTTATTCAGCCAGGCACTCTAGTCAGCTAAACAGGGATCATCCCCCTTTAATTCTACTCTCGAAGTATATTTCAGATTTTTGATGATGACTTTGTTGTTCTGGTTCAACTTCTAACAGTTCTCTGTTCATACAGGATAAAATATAACCATAGTTTCATGATACATATTAGTCTTGGAATATTAGTCTATCTGGTGCACTCTTAGGCATCCTTCCCCTCCTAAAGTACCTTCTAAATGAGAGAAATAATCTTGAAATCAAAAATGAGGGAACACTGAGCAAGCAAAGAAACAAACATCCTAGTGGACATGATAGTAAACAGTGGTGAATGGTAAATCGTGCTGGTATACAAATCAGATGGTTGGATATAAGATAAAAGTCTCTCTCTCAGCAATATTATTGCTAGGTTGAGAATATTAATTCGATCACTTACGCTGAAATAGCAAACAGCAAACTATCAAAGTAAAATAGACTCGAACTCTCTTAATTCTCATACAAGGGAATAGGAACTTTCCTGTTCATCGAAGTAGAGACTGTGTGAATAATCCAGTGTATATTGTCAAGTATCCACAGAGAAAATAGTGCATGTAACCACAGACTGTTATACTTTTTTCTTCTATTCATCCCCTGCATTCCGAGTAGAACACAGGGCTTCAAACCTTAAAGTTTCAGTTGCAGTGGCATGATCTCTCCGGAGTCGGGTGGCTATAATTAATAGCTTTAATCTTAACAGTACTTTTGGTAAAAACATCGAGTTTTCAACATGTAGTTGTACAGTATTGAATCCAATTTTCTCATTACAGGGGTGATAATTAAAAAAGGGCATTTACATTAATGATATTCTTCAATAAGAAATGAATATAAAATTAAGTGAAAATATTAACGACAATGTAACATTCTAAACAAGAAAGAAACAAGCCGTTCAATTAGACTTCCTCAGTAAGTTGGTAATTTCCTGCCTCACTCACTTTTCTCATCACATAAAATGTGTCCAAGCTAAATAAGGTATTGTAGAGATTTCTACTTACTCCTCCGACCTTACAGTTTTCTGTAGTTGCTTCTAGTTCTACGCGATGAGATGCAAGGAGAGAGTTGTGTATGGATAGGATTCTCAGGCTTTGACAGGATAATATTTGCTGATTTCTCCCATGAGTTCAAGTGTCTATCTATAACAGTATTAACGAGTTGGTTTAGCAACAGCCCCTCGCCCTAGTGACAACTTTTAGTGTCCTTCACAATGTAACAAAGTCTTTCTTAAGTAGCCCGCGAAAGATTAAGGGGGAGCGGTAGAAAAGAATAGGCAGAATACAATAATTAACAAACTGTGAACAGTAGAGACGGAATAATACCAGATCAGATCGTCTTAACTTCCCTAATTAGAACGTCAAACGAAATTTCTTTCTGGAAAGTAACATGATGTGGGAAGACTAGGAAAGATCAAAAGAAATACACAGTCCAAGGTATCTAACATTCGACTTAGTTTCAACTTCTGTGCCATCTATGATGGTGGAACCGTGCGGAGTGACCACTTCACGTAAGTTGCTCTTGCGACGGACAGTGAAATTAACCACCTAACATTTGGAGGGCTTAAGCTTAAGACCATTTGACGAGGACAACTGACTAATTTCTGATAAAAAGTTATTCATTTTGGAACAGTCTGATTGGGAAGTAACAGGCGTAGAAGCACTCAGATCATCGGCATACTTTAAAAAAATGGTTTCGTTAGAATGCGACAAGTCAGGTAAGAAGGAAAACAGAAAAGGAGACAGAACAGATCCATGAAGAATACCAGCTAGAATAAGAGAATCACTCAAGGATTTCCAAATTTAGCCAGAAAAATAGGAATAACCCCAATGGTGATAAAACCTCAGTGTACACTCTCCTAATGCCAATAAAAATAATGTCAAGAAAGAGAATTTCGGCCTCAAATTTAAACCACTTAACTCAGGGAGAAAGACAACACAAAACTCAGCCCGTGTAATCGAAACACACACGTCTCATGAAACATATCATCCCGTGACAGATAGAGAAGAGCGCGATCAACACCTTCTCATGTGAAAGCATACAAGTAACTCCAAATGAGTCTCAGAAAAGGTCTCATCTCTACACCATAAGATATGAAGTTGAAGCATAATCGTTGTTAAGAGTGGAAGTTTGGAAATTCTTCACAGAATTCACATCCAGACGTTCATCGATGAAATAGTAAGTACTTTGAGGGACGGATTATTTGTCTAGTGTTGATATAAGTTCATGATGGATTTGGATATGTGAGGTTTGTATCGGAATCCTTTGATATTCCACGACTTCTTATTCATGATAAGAATGAGTTGTGATGTTTGTTTGTAGGCCTTCATTTCGAAATTGATTGTCCGGTAGAGATGTTCTATGTACTAGCCTCTGCACCAAACTTAGCACGTGACAGTTAATGACATAACAACAGTCGCAGAACACCTGAAGTCTAAAGATTTCTCTTCCTACTGTGCGACTCTCAGCAGTTCACACACATCACTTCAACAGATATGGGAACCAAAACCTCAGTGTCGTCGAATGCACACGTTGTCCTTCAGTAACTGAGATAAGGCCAAATGGCTCATGCATCCCTTACGAATTCTACCGCTTCGTCATCTAACCTCACCAATAGTCAGTGTTATCCGTCAGCATCCGTCTTCACGCTCAAATTGTTTGACGTTGCTGGACAGCACTCCTCATTATAACTCCTCGAAGTCCATATTATTGTCAGCCACTAGTCAGCAGTTAATAACAACTATGATAACACTGACAATTCATAATTGAGCGCTGATAAGTTGATTCAACTTCATGTAATTCGTTGAAGAGCACACACCTCAGAAATTGTCCTCAGAGAGCAACACTCATTTATGAATATTTTATCCACAGTATTATTCCTCGATAAATTTCAGGAGTCACTCACTGTCTGCTGCTACAAAGTCAAGTGAACTTGTGTGATAATAAGCGATGTGGGAATAATGACGAATTGAACTGCGTAATTGGGGAAAGTTGACAACTAATAATTTTGGTGAATAATTCTTACCTCGTTTCAAATGATAGGCAACAAAGGCATAAATTCTTGATCTCGGATTACATGAAAGACATTCAGATAGAC